CATTGCATGATAGCACCTAAAGGAGAAAAATACCGGACAAGGTGTTGATAATGTCTGTGCTAAACATTTTAATTAGTGGTTGACTGTTTCCCTTTAATTTCTCTCATATTGTTTTAACAGTTGAGAAAAAATGCTAGTCAAAATTTCCTCAGCCTGAGATACCGGTATAATGACAGAATTTGAAAACTCTCAGTATTTGAGTTCTAATCCAGATTTTTTTTTTTTTTGCTTTTTGTGACCCTTTACTCCCTTTGTTTTGGGGTGGAGTGAGTGGAACTGAGCAATTTACTGGCTGGATGCCTTTCCTGACACCTACACGGAGTTCACAGCAGATATTTTTTCTTTGTGCAGAAACAACTGTCACTGCCTAGGATCAAACTCTCAACCTTCTGAATGGGAAGCGAGCTTCTTCACCTATAGGTCATACCACTCATTTGAGTTCTAATCTAGATACCACATAAAAATAGCTAATTATGTAGATGAAGTTCAATCTGAAATCTGCTTTTAAATGATTTAAATATTTCATGTATTCCATTATAAAGTGCCTTAAATTTTTGTAAAACATTGTAGGATTTAGTTATAGTAGATATTCTCAGTAGAAATTTTTGGAAAGAGAGTGTATGTGTCTGAAAAACACAGGATATGACAGAGGCACGTCATGGCCCTCTGGAGATCATATCCCAAGGATATTGATGCAGCCAGAAAAGCTCAGCAGGCACAAAGTGTTTGAAAGTGGAATGGAGGCAGGTTTCGATCATACTCTCCTGCACAAGAGACATAAACACATGAGTAAAAAGCTGAAGATCTCCACAATAGGCTTATGAAGACAATAGCATGTGCTGGAAGCAACCAGCCCAAAGAGCTCCATCATTCTAGAGCCTGGTGCAACCAGTCTAAGTGAAGCAAGGTGGGACTATTTAAATCTGATGTTATATGCAACAGGATTTCAACTGCTTTTGGCTTTCAATCTGAAGTGCTACTCAGCCCTAATGCTATTTCAGTGCAATTTTATTTTTCATTTCCTTCATGTACTGTATAAAGTAGTGCAATCTAGGAAATTAATTTTTGTGCTTAGCAAACATTGAAAACATAATTTACATGGTTTTTTAATTAACACATTTTTAAAATGTGAGAACAGCTAAAACAAATTAACAGAATAACAATTCTTTAATTAAGGATTCTTCGCTCATATCAGTCTAATTTTTAAATTATATTAACAAAGTACAGAAATTAATAATAATTTCCATACCCCTGTAAAATGGGAAACCCTAGTATTGCAGTGGGGTGCAAATTGCTAGATGAAATAAATGTATGTTTTAATAAAAATATTAAATATGGATGTTAAATATTGGAGATTTCTCAATATTATTAATACTGTTAGGGGTACTTCCAAACTAGATGATGAAAAAAATGGCTATTTTGCAATTCTGGTTTAAAAAAAAGACTAGTTCAACAAAACTATTCCAAGTATAAGTCAAATGCTCTTCAGAACTGGAGAAATGATTTGTGACTTCATCCCTCTAATATTATTAGAACTGCCCCTCAGCCTGCAATACTATACCATTTATTTAGGGCTCAAATTCACTGAAATCAAGGTAATTTACTGAATAAAAGTGCTTATGAATGAGAAAGAATTTTTATGAAGTTTTTATTCATAACTATTAATAACTACCTGATTATTTTGGTATTCAGAGCAACAGCAATTTTGGTTTAATTGCATATTAAAACCTCAATTCCCTGCATCACATTAGCTTTTCACTAGCATGATGTGCCTGGTATGTATAAACCATTCTCCTATTTTGTTACTCACGATTACATCACTCCTTCAGTTCATTTCCAGTTGGCAAAATATCACATCACACTTCTGTCTTTATGTCGGTATAGATAACTGAGTGATCAGGGGGAAAAAAATACCTTTTGCTCATAACGATCACGCATCATTTGGTAGACGAAAAAGAAGTATTAAAGCTAATTGGTTCAATGGAGTGTATCTGCTAGTCTGGCTGACAATTGCTCCCTTTTCCCGAGAAAGAAGCAGCGCTTGGCCATAAGATAATTCATACATTTTGCTCCGAAAATTGTCTCTGGACCAATTTTATCAGGGAAATTTGGGGAGGGGGGGGGGAAGATACATTCTGCACGTATTCAAATACAGATTTTTTGTTTTTTCCCCCATCCATCCTGCCGTGGAAGTTGCAGAACTCTCAGAAAACCTGCGAGCAAAGACCTTTGGTCCGACTGTGCTCTGTCCTCTGTCTCCCCACAAGCTTCCAGCAAAAGGCACTTGCCCTGTAGCCAGCGCCCGAAGGCGGCTTGATCCAGGCTCTCAGGAGAGCGTAGCTGAGCCAGGTGTAAGCTCACTCCGCCGAACTTATCCCGTCGCGGCTTCAACTCTTGTTCGGCCACGCTGAAGCGTCGGCGACCGCTCACGCCGCCCCGAACTTCGGGCTGCTGCTGCAGCAGCCGCCAGCGGGACGAGAGCAAACGCCGGCTGTGAGCGGACCAACCAGTCCAGCCGGCCATGGCCGCTGCGTTGCTGCTGCAAAGGAACGCGGAGAGAAAAGGATGTAGAGTTACTCACCGTCTGGACTTCCGTGCGGCTGCTCCAGTTGGAAAATTTGGCTCAATCGGGAGAAGATTTTAACATACTCTGTACACGAGATGGGCGGCCATATAAATTTAATAAATACATTTCACAGTAAAATAAATTATTATGTCAGAGGTTCGGTTCAGTTCCTAATCCTTGAAATCTAGATGTATCAGATTTAGGTCCCAACATTTTCTAGTCTATAGGAATTCTGGGAATTGAAGTCCAACACTTCTAGACAGTGCCAGATTTTAAGAAAAAGGTATTTGTTGTGGCATTAGATTTGATCTTAGATTTTACAATATTTTTACTTCCTTCAAAACTTCTATATACTATTATATTTATATGTTATTTATGATGGGAACATGACAGAAGTAAACACATAAACACAGTCCAGTGGCCTTATACTGGATGTCCAATTCAGCTATGTGTATCTTCTAGGGAACCAGAGAACGCACATTGTGGGCAATCTTGCACAATATATTTAAAAGTTTGCATATCAGCACCACACATGCAACAACAGGAATCTTTTCATTCCCACTGATAGTAGGGAAGAGGCATGTCTTCTACTATCATACCTAATTCTGTTCAATTTTGACTAGAGCAAAGCAGGTCATAACCAGGTGAGGGATACTAATGATGAGATCACAAGAAAGTACTTTGGACCATTCCTCTCTCCAAGCATTTTCAACTTAAACTGGGTAGATGTTAAAGTGAATACCTATTTTCCAAGCTGGCCTATGAAATTGCAATCGTGATGGGTTGAGCATTGTCCTGGTGAATAGAGAACCTTGTTCAACATCTTTGATCTTAGCCAAATGACAGCTTGTTGTGTTCTAACGTGAGGCGGTATAAGATTGCTAAGTACTGGTAACCAGTCCACAGGAGAGGGATGCAATATACTAGAAATGATATGCATTGTCTGGCAGAGTTGGATATCTGGCACAATATTCAGCTGCAGAATAAACCAAAGCTAAGGCTGGTGCTCGTAGGATGTTCTTCTATATATTGATATTGCCAGAAAATGTATTGATATTGTCTGTATTTGAAAATAACCTATTATAAATAGAATAATCAGTTGTACTTTTAAATTTGTGCATTGTCCCTTTAACACAGACAGAATGAAAAGAATATATGTGGCTCAGAATTAAACTGCTGACTCCTTGTTGCTCTCTGAGCTGCTTCGTTTGCAGACCTTTCATTACCTGACAGGGTAATATCATCAGCCTGGTTGGGTAATGAAATGTCAGTAAACCAACAGCTCAGAGGGCACCAAGGAATCCACACACTAGGGAAATTTTGCACTTCGATACCTGTTTTACATAATTCTAATAATAAACAATATAATAACAATGAGCAGATCGAAAGAGAACCAAACCTAAAACAAATGCCTCAGAACGCCAATGAAGTTGATCAGAACTGAGTTCTTGAAAAATATTTAGGTTACTATTTGAGTAAATATTTAAAATTGAGGCTGGGATTTAACATCAGCTAACCTGAAATTCATTTCAGAGTGTACAGTATACGATTACGCTCTAAAACAAGGGTCTTCAAACTTGGCAAGTTTAAGACTTGTGGACTTCAACTCCCAGAATTCCTGAGTTAACATGAGTGCAGGAGGAATTCTGGGAGTTGAAGTCCACAAGTCTTAAAGCTGTCGAATTTGAGGATCCCTGCTCTAAAACTTAGTTTAATACTAATAAGATTAAAGTTAACTAGAAACAAATTCCACAAGGAACAGGGAAGCTAATCATATGAGTTTAGGATGCCTTCCATCCTTCCAAGGTGGGTAGAATGAGGACCCAAATTGCAATATGCTGACAAACCGCTTAGAGTGGGCTGTTAAAGCACTATAAAGCGGTATATGTCTAAGTGCTTTTGCTATTTTATGTCCTGCAACTAATCTTATTTAAAGTTATATCTTCTGCCTGGGGTAGCCGAATAAACAGTTTAATCAGGAAGTGACTAAACGAAAAGATCAGCATCGCAGGGGAAAATAAAGCGAAGGCTCTCAGGGACGCTGCATTTCGGAAAGACTTCCGGCATTACATTGAACATAGCCGCTTGCTAACTAGCAACTGTGGGTTATCCATAGAGATACACTTGCAGAACAACATCCGCTCCCTGCTACTGAGCATTCCTAGACGCTAAAAATGAAGAGTGATATTCGGTGCAACTTCCTAAAAAAAATAAAAGAAAACCACATTAGGATTCGAATTTTTTTTACGATTGTGATCAGGAACTTTTAGAAAACGCTTCGAGGAGGCAGAGCGGCGTTTGGTAGCGCTTGAAACCCACTTTCTCAGTTCTTGAACAATTCCTGATCTGCCCATAGAGGCGGTCTTGAATCGACGTTCTTCTAACTCTTTAGTATCTCTTTGAGCGAATTTTGCCTTCCGGGGAAGAAGCCGCGCTCGTGGTGCAGAGACGATTAAAGCGGCGCTGCCTCCGCCTTTCCAGCTGAATTCTTGCGATGTCCTCTTCCAGCAAGAGGAAAAACAAGAAACGGCCTCCTTCGGAAAAGGACTCGGCTCTCGACCAACGAGGCGCAGCCCAAGAACCCCTCGGGTGGCAGAGGTTGTCGGTTGCAGACTTTCTGGACAAGGGTAGGATGCTGGGAACGGGCGCGAGTTCGTGGGAATCGCTCATGAACCAGAAGTCTCCAAACTTGGCAACTTTAAGACTTGTGGACTTCAACTCCCAGAATTCTCCAGCCCACAAGTCTTAGTTGCCAAGTTTGGAGACTTCTGGTTCGTGCTCTCAACAAGCCTGTAAGGTAGGCAAGGTAGGGAAAGCATTGAGGAATCTAAGGACCCTGGGATGGTCACTCTGGTTATTGTGACAGAAGCATGTGGCAGAAGCTCTTGCAAGATTATTGTGACAGAAGCTCTTGCAAGATTCTTGCCACAGTTATAGCATCACTCCATCACATAATTGATGTTATCTTAATACAAGGGTCTTCAAACTTGGCAAGTTTAAGACTTGTGGACTTCAACTCCCAGAATTCCTGAGCTAACATGAGTGCAGGAGGAATTCTGGGAGTTGAAGTCCACAAGTCTTAAGGCTGTCAAGTTTGAAGACCCCTGTTTAAGAGATAACTGCGACATACAGAAATATATGGAGAAGTTCATTCCGGAATGAGTTGAGTTCTGGCAATCCCTGTCCAAATCAGACACGATTAAGCCACAGAAGCTCCCAGATGCTGTTTGCATGTTTGTGATCATCCTTTTTCTTTTGCAACATTTAATATAAAGCTGTTATTCTTTTTTTTAAATTTCTGTATTGAACATTGCTGGTAGCTGGAACCGCACAAGATGGAATACAATTTATTTTTTTTAGTATACATTTAGGACAAATGTCACCCTCACTACCTTTGGGAAAGCCAAAATTGCTTTGTTAGAGATCCTGAAAAATGTTGTATTTAATTCATCATCAGGTCAGGTCAGGACTAAAGTAGCTTAACAGTTGTAATTAGCAGCTCCAGTTTTAAATAGTGTTATCATTTCTCCAAAACAGGTCAAGCCATGTGATTTTTCTGTAATTTCACAGTTACGGAATGTCACAGTTGTGGGTTAGGATATACCAAATTCCTTTTTGCCTGCTTAGGTTGTTTCAAGCATCTCCCCTGCCTTTCCTTCCAGTTGCGTTGGGTACTGCTCTGTATGGCGATTTTGACTTGAATTGCTTTGTGACAAGGCCCCTGGCTCCAACATAATATACCTACCTGCATAATGTCTAACATATAGTGCTCTTTTGGAAAACACCAGATCTGTCTTTAAAAGAGGGGGCAAGAGTTCGTTCTATACCAGTGTGCTCTTGTTGCCCAATTTACATTATAGGTTTACAGTTGCTCCTAGCTCAAATAAATTCATGCAGGTATACTTTTTATAGTTATTCATTTGAGGCTTGATGTAGTTCTTTTTCTTACTACTCTGCCACCTAGTGTACTTTCATGGACCATTTTAGGCACATTAACTTGCAACATTTAACCAATTTGGGATACATTGGGATTTGGAATAAAATTAACAAGAATTCTGCCACTTCTTGTTGATTACTCTAGTGTTCACAAGTTCTTTGGAGGCAGGGCATTGTAACTAAGTTTGTTAAGTTGTGTTACAATGAATGAACATACATCACATTTCTTATTAATTCTATTCAGACTTAACTACATTGTAATGGCCAAGTATTTGAATGGTAATCATGGTTTGGAAGTTGTTCCTCAGTGATCCCTTAGTACAGGCAGTCCTCAACCTACAATAGTTCATTTAGAGACAGTTTGAAGTTACAATGACACCAAAAAAAAGTGATTTATGATAATTTTTCATATGACATACTCATGGTCACATGATCAAAATTCAGCTGTCTGACAACTGACTCTTATTTATGATGATGACATTGTCCCGGGGTCATATGATCATCTTTTATGATCTTCTGACAAGAAAGGTCATAAACTGGGATAAAAATCACTTTACAAATATTGCACAAATGGAAATTTTGGGTTCGTTTATAGTCATAAGTCAAGGACTACCTTTAATGTAATATGCAAAAATATAATGAATGGGCAGAGCCGATTCTCTTTTCTTCTTGAACTTTAACATTTTCAAGGCAGCATAAAATAGAACTTTGTAGAACCACATGGGGCAATGTTTATTGAACATCAGAATGTTGTTCTTGCAACAGTCAATTGAATAGCCCAAAGATATCTAAATCAAAGATATATTGCATATCATGTTCTGCTCTTATATTAACTTTGAGGAGATAATCTGCATTTTATTCTTAAAGAATTTAGATCAACCAAATGATAAGTAAATGTATAATTGTATTTTTCTCTTTAATTTTAGAAGATGACAAAGTCCCCAAAATATACAGAGAAACTTTTGTGCAGTTGGCACTCAACACAATGAAGCTGGGAAATATTTGCATAGGGCGTCCAGTGCTGCTTACCAGTACAAATGGGAAGCAAGAGGTGGTGTTTTTTTCTTATCAATTCTATGTGTATTTTTGCATGCAGGCGGATTGTTTATGTAATGGTGTATTTTATTTTTCTTCAAAGGGGTAACACTAGATGGATTATTTTTTACTTATATTTTCTATTGTTTTGGTTAGGTTTGCACAGCATGGCCTGTTGCAGGCTTCCCTGGTAAAAAAATTGGCATAAGTGCAGTTACACAGAAGAATCTGAAAGTGGTACCTGGTGACACGGTCTTTGTCCAGCCTGTGACTGGTGCTGTACTTCAAGCAGAGGAAGTGGAAGTGAAGCTGGGGTATGTTTATATCCATGCATTTTACATCCTTACCTATGTTCAGATTTCTAATTTATTGTGACTTTGACTGAATTTTGTCATGAAGGAGTTTCATGTGACCATAATGAAATTTATTTTAAAGACATAAGTTTTCCTCATATTTAAAAGTATGACATTGCATGCCAGGACTTTAGCAATGCTTCAGTTATGAGTTCTGGAAGAGAAATTTGGAGTGTGTGGAGAGCACAATTGTAGCACTTTAAAGCAGTTTGTCTTTTCTTGAGATCACATGGCAGATATGAAGAACATATACACTGCTCAAAAAAATAAAGGGAACACTTAAACAATACAATGTAACTCCAAGTCAATCACACTTCTGTGAAATCAAACTGTCAACTTAGGTAGCAACACTGATTGACAATCAATTTCACATGCTGTTGTGCAAATGGAATAGACAACAGGTGGAAAGCATAGGCAGTTAGCAAGACATCCTCAATAAAGGAGTGGTTCTGCAGGTGGTGACCACAGACCACTTCTCAGTTCCTATGCTTTCTGGCTGATGGTTTGGTCACTTTTGAATGCTGGCGGTGCTTTCACTCTAGTGGTAGCATGAGACGGAGTCTACAACCCACACAAGTGGCTCAGGTAGTGCAGCTCATCCAGGATGGCACATCAATGCGAGTTGTGGCAAGAAGGTTTGCTGTGTCTGTCAGCATAGTGTCCAGAGCATGGAGGCGCTACCAGGAGACAGGCCAGTACATCAGGAGACGTGGAGGAGGCCGTAAGAGGGCAACAACCCAGCATCAGGACCGCTACCTCCGCCTTTGTGCAAGGAGGGACAGGAGGAGCACTGCCAGAGCCCTGCAAAATGACCTCCAGCGGGCCACAAATGTGCATGTGGCTGCTCAAACAGTCAGAAACAGACTCCATGAGGGTGGTATGAGGGCCCGATGTCCACAGGTTGGGGTTGTGCTTACAGCCCAACACCGTGCAGGACGTTTGGCATTTGCCAGAGAACACCAAGATTGGCAAATTCGCCACTGGCGCCCTGTGCTCTTCACAGATGAAAGCAGGTTCACACTGAGCACATGTGACAGATGTGACAGGGTCTGGAGACGTTGTGGAGAATATTCTGCTGCCTGCAACATCCTCCAGCATGACCGTTTGGCAGTGGGTCAGTAATGGTGTGGGGTGGCATTTCTTTAGGGGGGCGCACAGCCCTCCATGTGCTCGCCAGAGGTAGCCTGACTGCCATTAGGTACCGAGATGAGATCCTCAGACCCCTTGTGAGACCATATGCTGGTGCGGTTGGCCCTGGGTTCCTCCTAATGCAAGACAATGCTAGACCTCGTGTGGCTGGAGTGTGTCAGCAGTTCTTGCAAGACGAAGGCATTGATGCTATGGACTGGCCTGCCCGTTCCCCAGACCTGAATCCAGTTGAGCACATCTGGGACATCATGTCTCGCTCCATCCACCAATGCCACGTTGCACCACAGACTGTCCAGGAGTTGGGGGATGCTTTAGTCCAGGTGTGGGAGGAGATCCCTCAGAAGACCATCTGCCACCTCATCAGGAGCATGCCCAGGCGTTGTAGGGAGGTCATACAGGCACGTGGAGGCCACACACACTACTGAGCCTCATTTTGACTTGTTTTAAGGGCATTACATCAAAGTTGGATCAGCCTGTAGTGTTTTTTTTTCCACTTTAATTTTGAGTGTAACTCCAAATCCAGACCTCCATGGGTTGCTAAATTTGTTTTCCATTGATAAGTTTTGTGTGATTTTGTTGTCAGCACATTCAACTATGTAATGAACAAAGTATTTAATAAGAATATTTCATTCATTCAGATCTAGGATGTCTTATTTTTGTGTTCCCTTTATTTTTTTGAGCAGTGTATATTTGTGCTATGCACCTTCTCTCTTATTCCCCAGAATACCTTTGTAACTCAAATCGGAATTGCTGAATAAATTAAGTACATTATATGTAGTATATTTCTGTAAAATGTAATTCTCTTCAGAAAGCTTAGATTACAGACACTTTGCTCTTAAAGTTTCTGTAAGGAATTGGAATGTTTCTCATTTATTTGTCAAAAGTGTTTGCCACCTGTTTCATACTTCAGATGACTCTGAATCAGGTGGGATTCAAATTTTGTAACAACTGGTTCTGTGGGCGTGGCTAGGTCGGTATGGCTAGGTGGGCGTGGCTAGGTGGGCATGATCATGTGACTAGGTGAGCGTGGTTTCTTTATTTTTGCAGCCCCCCCTTTTTTTGTACCTTCTGGGCCTCAGGGAAGCCTCCGGGGGGGGGGGGCGTTTTTGCTCCCAGGCTTCCTTGTGGCTCAGGAAGGAAAAAAATGGATCCTGGAGGGAGTGCACAGCACTACCCCAACAGTCTGTTTTGGGACCTTCTGGGCCTCCTGGGCCACAGGGAAGCCTCCTTGGGGGGGCGTTTTTGCTCCCAGGAAGGGAAAAAAATGGAGGGGGCAGGGGGAGGTGCTGCCCCCTCCTCCATTTTTTGCCTTCCTGGGCCTCAGGGAAGCCTCCTGGGTGAAGCAGTAAGTAAGCGAGGGGAATCCCGGCACAGCTGATCATAGGAACAGCTGATTGTTGGGAGGGGGAAAAAAGAAATACCTTAAGGAGTGACTGGGCAGGGAAGAATGCAGTCAGCGATGTTGGACATGCGTGCAATATTGTGCATGCGTGATAAGGACTGACTGGGCGGAGAGGGGAAGGGACAGCCAGGGGCACAATTTGCTGGTTCTCCAAACTGTGCAGAATCATAACCAATTCTACACAACCGGTATGAACCGGTAGAATCCTACCCCTACTCTGACTGGAATTCTCATTTGGAGGCATATGGTTTGGATTAACTGTAATTAACTAACTTGGTACAGAGAACCATGGTATGTAGATTCAAGGATTGGTGATATAAAAGTGTTCTTGTGCATTTAATATCAAGTAAAAATATCAGTGGCTATAAACCATATGATACAAGGACCAAGATTTATTTAAAAGCAAGGCTTCAATCTATAAAATAGTTTGGATAAATCTTGGATTGTAAGTAACAAGATAAAAAGAAAGAAATTTAATGAATGGGATGTCCATTTAAAATCTCTTAGGATTCATACATTCTGGATTTGAAGGAGATGAATTTCAGAATCTCATATATCAGGAATCTTCTGCTAGATTAACATTGCTATTTGACAGTTAAAGAGTGATATTCTGTTCTCCATTTGCTTCCTGGATGATTTTTTAAATTTCTCTCCTTTTTTTTTCTTGTATCTTTGGTTTTCATTTTTAGAATCTCCCCAGATAATGCTTCCAAAATTATCTGAGGAGAAATTTCTAACCCTTAATGGCATATCCCAAGATGGGAACATTATATAAGAGTATATATAATTTTTTACCTTATAAAAAAAAATCTGATTGCAGCAGAGGCTGTCTTGGAAACAAAATAACCAGAAGTATATATGTGAAACATCTACTGGTCTTCTTGGGATGTCAGGAATAGAAGAAACATCAATATAAGAATGTTGACAAAGTTAGTATCCACTGATTTCTGATAGGTGTGACATTTACCCAGAATTGCTACTGTATTCAGGTAGGTAGGTAAATAGGTAGATAAATAGATAGATAGATGAACTTTATGTTTAATGCATTCCCTACTGATGTTAGTTTAGTAATTTCTGTTATACAAAAGATTTTTTTTAGGTCTTGAATTTAAGATTCTGTGCATTGAATTGACATAGTCTATGAGTCCATGTGGTCATGCTAACGAAGAACCAGTATAACAGATTTCTGCATGGGAATTGCTGTAAGAAGTCACTTTTGAGGGAGCCTAATTTATTTCTTACATTGGAGTACATTTGATGTTTTTGAAATAATGATATTTATTAAATTTTAACAATGATTATTTTATTTTTTCTTAGGGTTAAAGATGATTGTATCAGTACTGAAGACTTGTCCATTTGTCTCTTGAGAAACTTAGGTATGGGTTTAGTTTATGTTTTCTGGTTTATATTGTAGTTTTAAATACATATAAATTTCTGTCTGTCCTGTAGTCAAATGTTTTGGATTTCTGAGTTTTACAGAGATCCAATACACCACTCTGGAGCAAGAGTATCAAGAATAGGGAAAAATACTGCATTTGAAACTTTATAATTATTCAGTTTGAAGGGTGCCTTTTAAAAGTGCATAGAATATTCTCTTAAGAAGGAAAGTGCTATTCAAAAATAGGTTGTTCTGACCTCAAAACAGGCTCATAGGTATGCTTTGCTAAAACTAACCTTTCTGAGCTTTTCTGTTGGATTTCTATGCCATGTAGTCTTAATTTTCTGTGTATCTTAAATTGTCACAATAAATTAATTTTGGATGCTTAAAAGCAAGTATAAAAGTAGGATATGATATCCCCATTTTGATTTAAGTCCTTCTAAAGGACTGACAATTATTTTACTGTGTTAAAGCTTACCAAGACTATGGAAAATGCAAACTTTTTTAAAATTAGAGAACTGGCAGTTAGATCATCAAGATCATTGCTTTTGTTTTGAAAATAATTGTACTTCCTGTTATATTGCTATTATTTACAGATACTTTTATGCAGTAATATTTTAAATGGAGACTATGTGAGAAATCTGATTGGTTTTCTTAATCTTTCTTTTGCAGATGGAAAGATAGTATTGCCAGGAAATTTCCTACAAGTTACTTTCTATGGCCGATCTTGTGATCTAAAGGTTACAAAGGTGAAAGGAATGGATGGTGTGTTGCTGGAAATGCAAGATGTTTTAAAGATACCACAGGAATTACCACTGGAGAATTCGACTAATAGTCATTTCAATTTATCTATTGAACTTGGAAAACTAGTAATAACAGACAGTGAAGTACCTACCAGTACTCCATGTAAGCATGAGGATCATAACATATCCATGAATGATTCTTTAAATAATATGGGGCATGAAGCATTGAGTCCTGATCCAGCAGAGATCCTTGATGGTGATGGGTCTAACCTTCATTCTGAATCAATCATATCACAAGATTGTGAGAAAGGTTTTGCAGGTGAAGGATTACCTTTGGCTGATAAAACAGGACTGTCACAGAATTGGGAACCATTTTACTTCATATCGTCAAGGACTAGGGTCAGTTTCATTCAATCACAAGCCAAAGTGACAGAAGAATGCAATCTTGAACCAAAAGTTACTTACGATTCAATAGGTGGACTCAGTAACCAGCTGAAAACTATAAAAGAAATGATTGAACTTCCTTTGAAGCAGCCTGATCTATTTAGGAAATACGGTAGGATATCTATGATTATAAACGTGTGGTATAAATTACTATTTTTCATTTGGTAACCCTGTCAAATAATGTAAGACATAGTTTAAATGCATTTGTTTTTCTTAAAATGGCAGATCTTATTCTGCTTTTAATAATTTGTTTCTCTTGCCCAAGTGCTGTACAATGACTTAATTGTTTTTTTTTCTGTCATGTTTTGCTTAACCATTGCTTGTTAAATAAACTCGAATGAATTAATGGCCTAAATCAGTTTTTCCAAATAGTTTTCCTGTGGTGGGGCATCCAAAAAAGCTCCTCTTAGAATTGGGCAGCTTTCTTTAAAGGTACATATCGGAGAAAGGGTAGCAAAATTTATGTTAACTGTCTTGTGCTCATGAAAAAGCAACTTGCATGGTTTTTAAAAGCTAATAAAATTTATAAAAGACCCTTCTTTTCAATTATTTAAGTTAAAAGAAACAAATACACAACAGTAGTTAAAAGGGCTCTTAGTAGCAAAAATTGTGCTGTTGATTGTTCGGTTTCTTACTGCCATTTGGAATGTTTCTAAAAATAATTGTGACATATTTCATATAAAATACAGTTTTTCATTAGTAATTTAATGTTAACACGGGGACAATTTTATTATTGCCATTATGAACTTTTAACTTCATACAATGTCGAAGAATTAAATTCAGTTCTTTGCTGTTTATGTGTGACACTGAAGGAATCCCACCTCCAAGAGGAGTGCTATTATATGGCCCTCCAGGTACAGGAAAGACGTTGCTAGCCAGAGCAATTGCAAATGAGGTTGAAGCTCACTTCTGTACAGTTAATGGTCCAGAAATAATAAGCAAGTAAGTGCCCTTCATTGATTTATTTCAGACTTGCTTTATCTAAGTTTAAATTAGCAATGTACTTACTGTTTTTAAAATACAAGGCCTCTTTGTTACCCAGATGGGATATAGCTACGTCTGTAAATGTAAATGAAGGACCGATGATGTATTTATATCAAGATGTTGACACAATAATGTACTTATATAGGAAATTGTATGAGGGCCAGACTTTTGACAATGAATCATGTTTAATTTTCTTGTAGATTTTATGGAGAAAGTGAAGCCCGGCTACGACAGATATTTTCTGAAGCCTCTTTACGGTATGCTTCTATTCTTTCAGTGAAGTTACTTCAGATGGTTTAACTTAAGGAACAGGTAACTTTTTTGCTCTAATGGCATATTTAGAGCAAATATTTTTGAGCTTTCATAAAATAGCTGCCAAGAGAGGCAGTTTGTCTATTTAAAAATGGCTGCTGGGCTCACAAAGTGTTTATTTCCTAGAAGGCAAACTGCTAAAATTCCTCACTACCAACTCTTCTATCTTCAGAACATGCTTTTTAGCACTTCAGCTTCGCTTTGTCTTTCTTTTTGGGTAGATGGAGTTTCTTTGAAGAAAGCACTGACTTACAGTCATCAAAAAATGAATATGCAGCTTAGTCCAGAAGCATTCTTCTAAGTAAATGATGCCAAAGGCTGGAATTTGTTTTGCTGATTGCTAGATTCCCATTGACTATTTTTAGTTAGAATAATATTTTTTGAAACTATTTGGGTCAACATAGCTGATGGACACCAATGAGATATCTATAGGCTGATTGGTGCTCATAAGGATCATACTGCTTACCCAGGTGGATGGATGGATGGATGGATGGAGGGAGGGAGGGAGGGAGAGAGAGAGAGAGAGAGAGAGAGAGAGAGAGAGAGAGAGAGAGAAACAAAAGCCCATCCCCCAGGATAATTGGCAGAAATTTATAAATGTCAGTATGCCATACTGTTCTCATAGCCGTTTCTTTTGGTTTATATTTTCATTGGGGTTACATTTTCCTTTCATGTTTTTAAGAATACCTTCTTTATTTCTGTGATGGTTAAAGAGTGTGTATTCCTAATTTTGGCCTATATTTAGTGTTTGAATATATACACTGTTTTAAGATACATTCTTATTTTCTTAGCTGAACCATGAAATGCTGTAATCAGCTGAATATTTGAATTATTCAGTGAGGTTATTCAGTGTCATAGCTGGTGGCAGCACCCAACCTCTTTGATTAATCTTGAGAAAGTTAAGCAGAGTTGGGCTCAGTTAGTAATTTGATGGAGACTACCAAGAAGTCACAGGTTAGTAGATGAGGTTGAAAACATGCCCTAGAAAAAGGCAATAATGGTTTGAAAAGTAGGACATTCCTGTATAGTCTGTAGACATTGAATTTAATTTGAGGGTGTCTTTACCTTTTCATTTTATTTAATTATTTCATTTTATATGCATATTTATTCTAATGTGCCTATTGTAAGAGGTATGCTATTATTTCCCTTTTAATATTGTATTCCAAGAAACATTTTATTTCTCATTTTTGTTAAGGCGACCATCCATTATATTTATTGATGAAATTGATGCACTATGTCCAAAAAGAGAAGAAGCCCAGAATGAAGTTGAAAAAAGAATTGTAGCGTCATTGTTAACACTGATGGATGGTATTGGATCAGTAAGTCTCTTTGTCTCTTTGCTCATCCCTTCTGTGATTCTGAAACATAATGTAAACTAGACATTTTTCCCAATAATGCTTTGGGGCAAATTTTATTTTTCACTGATGATTCCATATTATGAAATGGGAGCTTACATTACATAGATGTGCATCGTATGTTGTTCCAGCTATGGAACGTGTCATGATGGAGCTACATTGCTTAGGTCAGGCCTGTCAAACTGGCAACCCATGGGCCAGATATGTCACATGCAGGCCACGCCCACTCTGTCTCCACAAAGGCAAAAAAACATTGCGATAAGTCACGATATGTCATGTGACACAATTGAGTTTGAAACCCATGGCTTAGGTGGTAGAGTCCAGAACCAGTTAATTATGTGAAGACACCACACTGCTGCATGGTTGGAAATTGTGCCATAGTGAATGGTACATCTTATTAAAATCTTAAAATTACTTAGATCCTCAGTTCAAGCCAGAAGGTAGCTTTCCCTTTAAAAGGAACAGAGGGCACCTTTAGTTGTTTTAAGCCTCTGCAACACTTTGCAACTGAAGCCAGTGGCTGTTTTGGAAAAGCCATGGGTACACATGCTACTCCTGTTGCTTTAAAAGAAAAAAAAAGATATGATCTGCTGATAGCCATGAGATTTGCATGTGAGTTTAATTGTGACACTCTATCCATATCAAAACATCTTGCCACACCATGATGTCAGGTCTTTAGCTGAAAGACATATTTTCCCAGGATGATGTGACTTTGTGACTATCTCAGAGCACCTTTTTGGTTTCTGATCCAAATTCTGTATTACCTTGATAGTTTTAATCTGTGGCAAATAAGGATAAGCTAGTAGAGAGCTTTTCAAGAATTATGTAAAATCTGTGTTAATAAATTATCTGAGCCTTGTTTAATAAATATTTGTATAACTCTTTAGAAAGCAAGATCATTGTTCCCAGTAAGTTTATTGCTACCTTGAAAAGAACCAAAACTCTTTATGTGTATATTGGATTGTGGACTTAATGAGAAGTTCTTGCTGATGTTTTGTGAAATATCACGGCTGCTTTAAAAAGATACAGTAGTCTTATCCATCTTTATCCCAATGCTTACTCTACAGTACTATTCATTTCTACAGCTTACAGTAAACCTGTTTTCAATATTTTTTTTTGTCATTTAGGAAGACAATGAAGGGCAGCTCTTAGTTCTTGGAGCTACCAATCGCCCTCATGCACTAGATTCAGCCCTGCGCAGACCGGGACGTTTTGATAAAGAGATAGAAATTGGAGTTCCCAATTCTCAAGATCGACTAGACATCTTAAAGAAGGTTCTCAGTAAGACTCCTCACTCATTGTCAGCATCAGATTTGACTCAACTAGCAGACAGTGCCCATGGGTATGTAGGAGCTGACTTAGCAGCACTGTGCAAGGAAGCAGGTAAGCTAAATGTGCTTCACGCTGAACATCAGTGTTATTGAGATAACTTTAGCATTTACTTACAATAAATCATTAACTGTGTACATGTACTAAGAAGGCATGGTATCTATTTATACTTTGAGTAGAAGATTATTTAAATATAATTAATTAAAAATTATGTAACACTGGAAGTGGAATGGATGTATCCTGTTTACATGACTTGTGTCTACTGTTTAGCATTTTACTAACATGGCTCAATAGAGCACGCTATAGAGAAAAATTAATGTGGACAAAGTTTAGACAAAGTTTTTTCATTGAAGACTATATGAGATCAGATTAGCATATGTTTTGTAACAGAACAAAACGTTATATCAATTATAAGTCTGTGTTTGTATATCATTTAGTGTGAATATATTGAGGACAGCTTGTTTTCTATTGTGTATAAAGTGAGCAAAATAATATTTAAAATGGAAATGCATTAAAAAATGTCATATAATAGCATATATTCAAGTTGCTTTTTAAAAATATACATCAAGATCAGTTAAAATTTGGACATGAATTAAATACATTGTTCATTAATATACTACTCCAGCTGTAGTGAACTGACCTCTAGTGGTAGGAAATAAGATTTCATGCAAATACGTTTAAAACTGTTTCTTATGTAAAAGGAATCTCTGAATTAAGACTATTTTAAAAAGTAGGAAAATTGGGATGATTATAACGTCTGAAAACACATGGATATTATATACTGCAAAATAGTAAATCATTAGTAAAACTTACACTAGGTAAATTCTTTAAGGATAGTTTTAAGTAATGTATTCTCACGTGCATCATACTCCAAGAAATAAAATCTGTACAACCTTTCATATCAGGGGTCGCCAACCTTTTGGGCCTCAGGGACCACCAAACTCATACTTTTAAATCCCGAGGACCACTAATACAATTTTTTTTAAAAAAAGATAATATATTTAATAT